GTTATCATGTTTATGCTGCCCGTTAAACCATTCTAACAGAAAACGTTTTACTATAAAACGCTTGTATAAACACCCCAAAAACCGTTCTCGTTAAACCGTTTTGATTTAAAACGTTTTGAAAACGTGTATTAACCGATTTGAAAACGGTTTAAATACTACGTAAACATCTCAAACCGTTTTAAAGGAGTGCCAGCACTGCTTGTTATGACATTTAAAAACTGTTTTGGGGAAAGCTTGTAAATTCCTATGGTGTGCCCCAGGGTTCAGTTTTGGGACCGCTCCTTTTCCTTTCATAGATCAATGATTTAGATAATCTTGATATTACTGGTCACCTCACTTTGTTTACGGATGATGCCACGATTTTATGGCTGGATCAGTGCCCAGATCGGCTTAACACTCTAGTGTTGAGAGACATAACAAAAATTAAGCAGTGGTGTGATGCAAATTGTCTATCTTTGAACATTAACAAAACTAATATTTTGTCTTTCAAATGTGAGTTAAAAAATATTCCTTTGGAAAACAGCATTCTGGAAAATAGAAGTGGTGTGAAATTTTTGGGTTTACAAATTGACAAGCAATTAAAATTTTCAGTACATGTCAATGCTCTTAATAAAAAATTGGCCTCAGCTTGCTATACTGTTAGGTTGGTCAGTATGGACTTGAGTCATTCTTTGGCAAGATCGGTGTATTTTTCTTTGGTGGAATCAAACCCAAGATACGGAAGAGCGTTTTGGGGTTTTTGTAGCGGACAGCTACTGCATTCTGTTTTTGTCCTTCAGAAGCGTGCCCTAAGGTATCTTTGTAGATTAAAACCAAGAGACCATTGTAGACCATATTTTGAAGATGAAAAAATACTTACATTATTACCATGTCTTTTTATACTAGAAACCGTTATCTTTATTCATAAAAAATATAAAAACAAGGAATATAGAAATGGTACAGTACTGTTAGAGCTGACGGTGATCTTCGGCTTCCAGTACTAAAAAGTGCTCTTACTAAGAATTCACTGTTTTTTGAGAGATAAAAAGTTTATAATCATTTGCCTCGAGTGTATGAAGTATTCAGAACATTAAATTCTTCTCGATAAAGGTAATATTGTTTTTACAGTACAAAGCATATTATACATTGGACGAATTTTATTCCGAAAATTTTTAGACTGGTATGGTTGTGACTGGTTTCTTTCATAAACTATATTTTAGACTTTAAGGTAGTAAACCTTTATGTATTGTAGGCTTTACTTTTAGACTTGATGTAACTGTTATTTCATCATTTTATTTCACCTTTCTTGTACTTACACGTTTGTATGTTCTTATTGATCATCGTCTTATTTATTTTATGTACGACCTACACTGTAAGAGCTTATTACGTAACTCATTTTAGCCTGTTTGAGTTACGTAATAAGTTGCATTATCGTGCTTAGTGATGTAATGAGCTCATTACTCACTCTCATTACATCACTCAGTGAGCAGACCCAAGCAGCTCAGCGGTTGTGTTTTCGCTTTGCATGCAGTGGGTCTCGGGTTCGAATCCCGGCTAGGTGCATGGATGTTTGTTTGTTTGTTTGATTTGGTTTGTGTGTGATGTTGGAGGCTTTGTCGACAAACCACAGTGGTGGTTTCTGACAAGAAAGCAGAAAAAAAAAAAAAAAAAAAAAAAAAAAATAATGAGAGCTCATTACGTAACTCATTTTTATTAAAAAACGGCACTTTTTAAAATTCATTCAAAATCTGGGTCGTACATAAAATGTTGTATATCACACGTACGGTAACGCTTATTACACCACTCGTGTGATTACCACGACTCGGTCTACGACCTCGTCTTGGCAATATTCCCCACTCGTTACTGTAATGAAGCTCATACCGTACTAGTTATATAAATAACTATTACAATTTTATGACATTTTTTATAATGCAATTTGGACTTTATAGGTAATATTTTAGGTATTAAAACTCTATGTATTAAAATTAAAAATTTTCCTTACCTAATTACCTACTTATAAGCATATATTATATTTAGGGTTGCCAGACCTCCTATTTTTAATATGAGACTCATATATTTCAACTGTTTCTCATATCTCATATTAGCATGTTTAATATGAGACTATTTCTCATATATTTTCATAAAAAAAAAGAAACCATGTATATCACTACCATGATCACTACCATACATGTGATAGGCCGGAGTCTCATGCGTCCCATCCGACGGTCCAATGTACGACGGAGCTCCTATTGGCTGAAACATTTCTCGCCACTTTTTATCCGAATATTTTCAACTTTTTACCGACGTCGTCGAATAATAATATTTTACTTTTATCGCTTTTGTACATAATAAATAAAAAAAAAAGTAAATACAGAAAAAAAAAAACAAAACGATTTTGGGTCAGGGATTTGTTTAAACATCAAAAAACCCAAGGTGTTGTCCACAACTTGTTATAAGAAATGAGACTGACGGATCAGGAGGAGTATTTAACTACCTAAACGGATGTTCAGCAATACATCCTGCTAAAAATTCTGCTAAAAATCATAGCTAATTGTCAAGATAAGAGCTTTTTCGGATTTGAGTAATTTTGTAGTATATAAAATATTCTCATATATAATTATTATCTAATCTCATACAGAGCTGGGCAGGGCTTGAGTGCTTTGTGCTTGCGAAAGTGCCCTGTGCTTCAAGCCCTTTTATAGATTTGTAATTGGGGCTTGCAAAGTCAATTACTTTAGAAAAGTGCTTGGTAATTTGTAATTGAAAAAAGTAATTCAAGCCCTTTCAATGAGCTTCAATTACTTTTAGAGGGCTTGAAGCACTTTTGGGAGCTTGAAGCCCTTCGAAAGGGCTTGAAGCACTTTAAGAGGGCTTGAAGCACTTTTGGGAGCTTGAAGCACTTTGAAAGAGCTTGAAGCACTTTAAAAGGGCTTGAAGCACTTTGAAAGGAATTTGAATTGACCATCACTCAACCTATCCCCCACTTGAAAATTTTCGATCGTATTTTGTCCCTTTTTTTTTCTATTATTTGAACTTGAACCGTCTTATGTCTTTTCTCTTTTAACAATGGAGGTTTTGGGTTTGAGCTTAGAATGGAATTTAAAAAAAAAATAATGAACTTATTATTCAAATAAATAATTAATTTATATTGGTAACCTATTTAACTTTATCACTGGATTTTTTCCACTTTTCCCCATTGAACATTTTCAAAACCTTAAAATTGAATTACCATGTAGTACCCCAAGTACCCCAGAACTACATCTCAAAAAAAAACATACTACTGCTACTCTGTGAAATGTAAAGTTCGTCTCTACTATACCAATTCTGTGATGAGTGTACGCGGTAGCTTATGCCACTTTGAGAATTTTATTACAAATTCAAAGTGCTTTAGGCACATTTAAAGAGCTTCAAGCACATTTAAAGAGCTTGAAGCATATTTAAAGAGCTTGAAGCCCTTTTCAAGGCACCCCAAGCACTTTTCAAATCACTTTGAGGGCTTTGTGCTTGTAAAGCCCAAAGCACTTTGAGGGCTTTGTGCTTGTGAAGCACTTTTGAAAATAAAAAGGAATTTGTGCTTGAAATTGAAGCACTTTGATAGAGGGCTTAGGGCTTAGTGCTTCAAGCCCTTTTACTGAGGGCTTTGCCCAGCTCTGATCTCATATAATTTTATACAGGCTCTCCTATTTTCAAAACTCAAGTATCTGGCAACCCTAATTATATTTGAGCTTTGTAAATGAGACTATGTCTTTTAATACAATAAAGCATATTTTGATTTGATTCGATTTGAAGCCCCATGGAAGTATAAACACAGGATAAAACGTTCTAAGTGCAAACACGTTTTAGCGGCTAAAATGGTTTAACGAAAGCATATAAACTTGGTAAGTGTCACGTATAGTTTTCTCATATTTGTTAAATGGAAGGACAGCTTAATCGGCTATGCCGCTTACCTGTTCTGAACTAATATAATAATTTATAATAATAATTAAAAAAAATAATAATACATTGGAATATTTTGGGCAAACTTCTGAGGTTGTTGGAAGGCTTCCTCACTGAACGTACTTTCCAAGTACGTGTGGAATCCTCACTTTCAAAGGAGCACAAAGTACACAGCAGTGTAGAGAGATCAGTCCTAACTCTAACATTAGTAACAAAACAACAAGACCTAGGAGTCACTTTAACATTTGACCTAAAATGAGATACACATATCACGCACAAATGACCAAAAAAGCCAATTCAATGATCTACCTTATTCGGCCTTTGAAGACCTATCAAAAGAAATGATCTTGAAACTTCACAAGTCGTATGTAAGACCAAAACTTGAATATGCTCCGGAATCCATACTTTTTCCAAGATATAGAGCACATAGAGAAAGTTCAAAGAAGAAGCGCAAGAACTTAAAGATCTGCTCCCTGAGGAAAGGCTCATATGATTAGACCTCATAACTTGAAGGGACAAGAGAATCGAGAATCAGAGGTGATCTCATTGGAGCACATTAAATACTCAACGGTCACTATCCCTGTAATCTGAGAGGCATCTTTCACCTAAGTGACAATACAAATTTAAGAGGCCATGATCAATAACTTTCTTAAAAAAATGGAAAATGCAATAAGCTCCTGCGGAGAAAGTTCCTTATCGATAGATTTGTCTACAATTGGAACCGCCTGAGTGTTGACACCAATAACTCTACCTCCAGAAATCAATTCAAGAATTGCCTTGACCTGGAAATGAGAAGTTGGACTCCTTTGGTCATTACAGTGTATAGACCAAAAAAACACAGCTGAGACTGTGATAACTGCCTAACTAAATACGGTAGTCTCATCGGTTTTTTAAAAACCGTCTACTGCTGTTAACAATAATAAAAATAATAAATAAAGAAATATGTATATATATTATTATATAACGACATAAATATTTTCAAGCAAAGTTTAATGATAAAGTGGGACTGAATAAACTTTTGTTAATCTACTATAAAGCTGGAAAATAATAAGCGATAAATGTACTTAGGTATTCTATTTACTTACATCTTCATCTTTGGACAAGTCTCCATCATTATCTTTAATATCGCCTAAGTTCTTGAAACGTTTATTCTTAGCAGTTTTATTTAATATTTGAGCTAAAAATTAAAAGGAATTATAAATAATTTATCTACCATCCTAATTTGATTATTATTCACCTGTTTTCCTATCAATTTTCTTGGGTAGCTTCCAAGTGCTAGTAAATTCTCCCCAAGCACTTTTGTCCGACTTTTTGATTTCAGGCAAAATATGCCCCCGTTCATTGGATATTATTTTTGTTTTACCAATTCGTTGTCTTGGCGTAGACGGATATAATTTGGGAACCTCCCAGTTTCGTAAAACTTTTGGTTTGTAGGCTGATTCAAACTAAGATTTAAATTAAAATATGAATATACACAAAAACTTTTTAAAAGATGCAAAATAATCCAGCTCATCAAGACATTTTCTCTAAAGGCAATAAAAAAACACAACTACACGATTGAGGTTTATGATGTATATTAATTTTATACTTAAACTACAAAGTTTATTTTTTATTTTTCCTTTCTTTTTGCTTCTTAACATGTTTTTTCATTTTGATTTTCCTCTTTTCAGCTTGAGCATCTTTTACAGCTTTTTTCCTCGCTTTTTTTTCCTCGAGTGTCTCATGTTTGGGTCTTGAAGCGTCCACAAATTTGCTGCTGTCTTCATCAGAACTATCATCAGAATCCCCGGATTCTGAGGCATCAGAATTTTCCTGTTCATTTTCTAGCAACTCTGGCTGCTGAACGGTGCCACTTAAATCAGATTTTAGACCAACTATCGTTTTATACACTAGGTCATTTGCTAGACCTGATTTAGCTTGTTTTATGTCTCGTTCAAAATCAATAACTTCTGTAAGGCGTTTAGGGATGTATGCTTGTTTGAATACTTCTTCGTCGACCTATAAAAATAATTAATTTATTAATTAAAGAATATTTCCCCAAATAGAATCTTACCTGATCTGTAGAAGTGACTTCTGTTCTCTCACCAGCTTTTTCAGATAATTTACTCAAACAATCTTCCATGTTATCACCAGTAATTGCAGGATCTGTAATAAAATCAAACAGGTCCTTTATACTCATTGTGGCAACATCTCTCTTTTTGAAATAATCTGTAATATTTGTACAATCCTTTCTCAGAAACTCTAATGCATGTGGATGATCATGTTCCACACTTTGTGATACATCTATAATGTATATTTCCCCATTTTGATAAAGCATATTAAATTCAGACAAATCTGCATGAACCAGTTTACATTTATTGTACATTTTCCACATAATTATAACGATATCTCTATAAATTTCTCTTGTTTTTGATGGTGATAGTTCCACATCTTTTAATTTGGGTGCTGGCCAACCATCTTTACCAATAAATGTCATCAGTAACACATGGGACCTTAATAATATTGGTTCTGGCACATTTAATCCATTTGAATGCATTCTTACTAAATTACGCATTTCTTTTTCAGCCCAGGTTCGAACCATTTTTCTAGGATTATGTTTGGAATAGCCATGCCTGAATCGAAATTCACCAGTAACATATTTGTCTCTGTCTTTAAAAACTAATATTGAGGTTTTGTAGATTTTTATGGCAAAATCTTGACCTGTCTTAGAGGAGGCATGGTAAACGTTGGCTTCTTTGCCTGTAGAAATACAACCGTTAACTTCCGATATAAAGTTTCTGTTTAACAGTTTAAATAAAATCATTCTTGTGCGCGGGTCCATGACTTGCTCCGCTGTAGCCCTGTCATGTTTGTCTTTAGTTCTTCTGCGTTCGTTTTCAAGTTTCTTCTCATTATTGGCTAAAAGACTTACTGCATGATATGGAAGTGAAGAAACTTCATATTTTTCTACATTTATGTGGTTGGAGTATTTTTTAAATAAATTTTCAGATGGTTGGTAATTGGCGATTTTTTTAGATTGTTGTTGCTGATTGCTGTGCAGGGTTGAGCCACCGTGGTCTTTGTTTAATGTATTTTGATAATATTCTTCATCGTCATCATAATAATCTTCTTCCGAGTACGAACTGTAGTGTTCTTCGAGCTGGGGGTCCTGAATTTTTAGATTTTTTACTCTATTTTCGAGTTGTTCATCTTCGTCTTCGACGTCAGCGTATAGTATTTCGTCAGGTAAGGTTTCTGTGGTCATTTTATATTTTTCTTTGTTTTTTTTTTCTATGTAACAAAGGTGTTATCTAAAAATAATCAAAGAAAAAACGTGATTTTGTTGGTGGTATGAGGAACAAATCAAATCAAACAAATAGGGTTAGGTTATATTTTGACATATCTCTTCTTTTCTGTCTCCATGGCTGCGTTCTACATCTGCGTTAAACATTCGTTGGTAAACTTGTTCTGGATCGCTTCTTTTCAATGGATGTATTTTTTCAAGTGTTTACCTTGCGTTCCGGTTTATTGCTCAAAGAGCAGAGCGTCCTGAGCGGAGCCATAATCTCGTGACCAGCGAGCGAACAGGGGTGCGATTTTCGAAACCATTCGAGTACATTTTGTCGGACACGAAATTTGACTGACAGCAATGTAAATGTGCGTTTTTATTCTCATCGGTGGATTCACCGATGAGTTAGCTATCTTTGTTTAGTGAATGGAAAATGACAATGATCGACATAGAATGGTGGATCCATCGGTAAAATTTGATGAGAATAAAATGCAGGGTAAGTTGAATGGGGAGCATTCGAAATCGTATCAAATAGGGTACTTGCATGGAAAATTAAATTGATTATAGGGACATTGTTTATTGCAAACTGTAGGAAATCGAAAAAAAATCGTTACTTTTTTTTTATTTCGCCCAAATATGATTATTCCGGAAGTTATTCAAATATTAAGTTTTGTATATATAGATATACTGAGCATGTGCAACGTCACTTATTTATTAGATAAGTGACGTCATAGGCAGATTTCATAGTGTTGTATCTCCGTCAATTTTGGACTAAGAAGAAAAAGAAAAAAACACGTGTTAACTTATTTTTCATGGACTATCGAAATCAGCAATAAAAAATTTGATGCAAGGAGCCTATTTCGTATGCGAAAATATTCGAAAATCGGACCCGAGCAGGTTGAACGCTGTATTCGAGTGCCCGAAATTTTAATAAACGTAAAGTCTGTTTTTTTTTTTAAAGATAATTCCCCAAGTCAAAAATTTAGTAACTATGTTGGCAACACAAGCCTTTTCAACATACAAAATTTGAAAACATTGACAATTTTACATTGCATTGCCCATGGCCGGATTAAGCTTTCATGGGGCCCGGGGCTAGTACAGTTTTAGGGGGCCCTTCATAAATTAAGTGCAAAAAAATATACAGGGTGTCCCACGACGTTTTTCCCAGGTAATAACTTCGGAACGCATCATCCAATATAATTGAAATTTTGAAGATGTGGGTAACTTTTTATGCCGCTTCTACCGTCATCCAATTTGAAAATTAAATCGTCAATGCTGGGTTTGTTAAGGCTTTGTTAAAGAAAATGATAAAAAATTATACAGTGAAACATACGATGATGCGTTCCGAAATTATCATTTGGGAAAAACCGCGTGGGACACCCTGTATATAGAAAAAGACTATATTCCTGATATAACAGTCTGACACTGCTATACCTATAATTATCTATTCGCAATCCGATGTCCAAAGGTAAAGGTAAAATTTATCACCTTTCAGTGCTATTTGATAGGGAAAGGTGATAAATTTACCTTTATCTTTGGACTACGGATTGTGAATAGGATATACATGTTTTACAAAATTATGTCAAAATATCTTTTTTCTACAACCGTGCGTAAAGTACTCACTTTACGCACTATCCAGAAGACGTAAAATTTCACTTCACGCACTAGTGCGTAAAGTAATTCACTTCACACACTGGTGCGTAAAGTAATGTCAATGACAGATGTTGACACTGTCAATTTAGTATTTTTTTGGTAAAGTACTTCACGCACTAGTGCTTAAAGTGAAAATACTTCACGCACTAGTTCGTAAAGTAAATCTAAATCTATTTTTTCACACATATCTGATAGGTAGTAGAAAAAATTTTGTATGCAATACGTGCGTAAAGCACCTTTTTTCACTCATGTGATTGTCGTCAAAATTCACATTCGTAAAAAAAGGTTCACTTTACACACTTGTTGCATAAATAGCTATTTTCTACTACCGTGCGTAAAGTACTCACTTTACGCACTATTCAGAAGACGTAAAATTTCTCTTCACGCACTAGTGCGTAAAGTGAAAATACTTTACGCACTAGTGCGTGAAGAATTTTTCTAAATTTATTTTTTATGCATATTTGATTGGTAGTAGAAAAAATTTTGTATGCAATACGTGCGTAAAGCACCTTTTTTCACTTATGTGATTGTCGCACTCGCCTTAAGAATTTGTCTAAATTAATTTTTTCACACATATTTGATTGGTAGTGGAAAAAATTTTGTGTGCAATATTTACCTAAAATCTGTTTTTTTTTAAAGATAATTCCCCAAGTCAAAAATTTAGTAACTATGTTTGCAACACATGCCTTTTCTACATGAAAAATTTGATAGCATTGACAATTTTACATTGTATTGCCAACCTAATGTCAGTTTGACTTTTATCTTTAAAAAAAAAACGCACTTATTTAACAAATTCTTATATGACATCAGTAAATTTTAATTCCTTCAGAATGTCTCTGTAGTCTTTCTATGCACATCAATGTTAATGAAGACCGGCGTTCCTTTTGCATTGTTGTTCTATATTTATTTTTAATTTAATAAATTTTGCGAAACATGACGCGAAAGACTAGTGTATCTAATATTTATTGTTTGACCACGGGCCCTTGACCAGCAGAAGCCTCAATTTCGAAAGTAGGGCCCAGGGGCCCTACTGGACTGCGGGGCCCGGGGCTGCAGCCCCGTTAGCCCCCCCTTAATCCTGGCATGGCATTGCCAACATAATGTCATTTTGACTTTTATCTTTAAAAAAAAACACACTTTACGGTAAAATTCAAGCTCGGAGAACTCAGATCAAATTACCGAACACACGGTTAGAACACTAGAGCTACTCGCTCCGGTGTAAGTCGACCCTGATTTAAAAGGAACAGATGCGCTGGCTTTCGTGCAATTAAATGATGCGAGTTCTGGCTTGAGCACGGAAGAGTGCAACAAACACTTTTCGAAAGCAAGGCGCGTGACGCCCCGGAGCTGTTCCGGAGCTACTCCTAGGAGGTGTGAAAGGAATACAACTTATAGTTCATAGCTCCAAGCAGGGATGGGCATCTACGTGTGAATAAAGATTGTCTACGTCTGGTGTAAACAACACGTAGACAATGTAAACTATGTAATCTATGTAGACAACGTGTAAAATATGTAGACAACGCGTAAAGTTACATAGGGTGGGTTCCGTTGTCAACCTTGGATACGGTTACACGTTCCGTAATGTCTGGTTCCTGAAAAACCGGTCTATACGGAACGCGGTTGGTCATGTCAAACATGTCACCAAGGCAACCGGCGGCGATTCTGGTCGGGGATTCTAAAATCACGATTCGACATACGATTCGACAACGAGACGATTTTTCCGACGATTCTAGGTTAGAAATCTCATTGGAATTATAGCTTTCGACACGACAAGGCCGGTATCGTTGTCGAGTCGTGTGTCGAATCGTGATTTTAGAATCTCGGCCCTTGTGATTGGAAAAGCGTTCCGTATTAAACCGAAATTTTCAGCAACCGCTTGTCAATCGTTGTCAACCGCTGTCAACCGACATTAGGTCTGTTCGCAGAGAAATCACGAACCAGTCAGAGTGAATCTCATTGGTTGAAACTAGTTTTCTGACTGTTTCTGATTGTTTTCAACCAATGAAATTCGTTCTGACTGGTTTGTGATTGCTCTGCGAACAGGCCTATTGTACCGACCGGTTAACAGAGGTTAGACAACGAAACCCACCCAAAGTATACAATTCTTGACAGTTGGCAGGCCTTAAGGTTAGGTTTCTGTTTTTGCTTTGTATTGTTTTTTGCTTTGTAAAGTTAATTAAACTGCAAACAGTGTTGCCAGGTCTACTGATTTATCAGTAGATCTACTGATTTGGCCATTGGTCTACTGATATACTGATATCAATGTGAATTCTACTGATAAAATCAGCTGTCATTATTTAACCGATTTTTATGATATTTTTTAAATTATAATCATGTATGAGAATGTCACAGCAATAATGGACCTTTCTCATGCAATGAACAACAAGGATAGTTTTTAAAGATTTCTGCAATAAAGAAAAAGACACATATAATGACGCGCGATACCTGTGTGGAATGACTTTGATTGGTTCCACTTGTCAAATTGAGCAATTTCGGTTATGTTTCTGTTTTTGTTTATTTTTAAACGTAAATATGACAAATATGTATTAACATTAATTAGAAAGAAAGTCCCAACTTAAATCGTCTTCATTCGGGTTGAGAGCACGTAACTATTGTTTTCTTAAAATTTGATTGCCTGGGAACTTGTGAGAAGGAAGGTTTGACTTCTTTTTCGCCTTATTCTGACAAGATCTCATCAACACATTTGAACCATTGTATCATGAACAGTTTTTGTTATAATTTTTAGCAATATTGATTGATATTGATTGATTATTGAGGTTAGCTTAAATACGTCAGGGTCAGACCGCGTTCAGTAAATCGACGATTTAATTATCTGTCACCCACAAGCGGCGCGCGCAGCACAGGTAAAATGAGAAAGGTCCATTTCATGCTTGACCTGTGGGCTAGAACTCTGAGTGTACTCTACTCCAAATGACGCCCGATTACTCCGATCAGACCGGTGTGGTATGTATTGGAACATTCGAACGCTCGCAGTGCAGGTGCTGCACTCAACCTAACTGGGGAATCCCCGGCGTTCGTGCGTGTTTGTGTTGTGTTTTGTTGTCTTGTTTATTTGCCAGTTACGTTAAGGCATGCGTTCTTGTTGGTTAGTCAATTGGTCACATAGCGTTATGCTGTACAACTAACTGCAGCCTGTTTCACCTGTTTTTAACAGAGGCTAGACTACTAACTACCTACATACTACATAGGTAGTGCGTCTTTGGTAGTGCATATTAAATAGGAATATTCCACGTCTCTTGATAAACTATTTCCCATTATAGGTAGTATTGGTGTTTGATTTTCCGATCCCGATGCAAGTTTTCACATTCTAAAGATTTCATTTGAAAAAATGTAACTAGAACGAGTATACCCTAATGGTTTACCCCTTTAAACTAGGCAACTTATCTGTCTACTGATTTCTACTGATATTTAGACTGGTAGTCTACTGAAAAAACGAAATAT